TTTTTTTTTTTTTTTTGTAATTCCATAAATTGAAAAAATTACCGATGACTTCAAAGGAATATTTCCTTCCACTGAAAAGAACGGATTACTTTTTATACCGTGGAGAAAAACTAATATCCGTGAACTCGTTGAAAACCAACGATTGCGACCAAGAGGGAGAACCCGCTCTTGCTCTTGATATTTACAGAATGACATTTCCAAAGATTAATAACCCAAACCTTCGTTGCGATATGTCGATATGTACATGAAATATGAAATTAAACCACAAATGAAATCAATCGATACACAATCCTTCGACATAATACATAGTTGTTGCCTATTTTTTTTTTTCTTTTCTTTTTTTTATCGCAAGTGGATATTGTCTTTTGGAAACGAATTTGAAAAAAAAAAAAAAAGAAAAGAAAAAAAGATATATGAACGAGATCGTAGTTGTATTTCGGAAACACGCGAGAAGTTCGATAAAAAAAGGAAGAGAACAATCTATTCACCCATTCGCGAAAAAGAAGATAAAAGAGAAAAATGGCAATCGTATAAAACGAATCCGACAAAGTATTGTTATGTAAAATCACGATGATATAAAAATAAAAAAGACATCTATGCATATACATAGACATTTTTTTCGAGCGCCTTTTAATTCATAGAAGAAATTCTAAATCTACATCGAAATGGATCCTAACATCGATCAATATATCAAGACTTACACTTTAAATAGGATTGATTCTCTTCACATAATTCGAGAGGAATTATTCTCTCCATTCCTTTTTTCACAATATAATGTTTCAACAAAAATTCACCGAAGCATATCCTCGTGACATCCACCACCCACGTGAAATACACAAGAGAGAGGATTGTTCTCCGGAAACTTGTACGATTTAAAAAAGAGCATAGAGAGAACGCAGGAAGATAGAAAGAACAAAACTTTGCGGAAGCTTCCTCTTGGATTAACTGTTTCGCCATAGAGGAGAGAAACTTGCCTCGTAATGCGCGATTTAAAATTCAGAAAACACGCGATCCATACTTGAGAGCATGGCTATTTCGAAAATTTCCTGCGACCAAGAAACCACTTTTGTTCGAATTTTGTAAATAAATTTTTCTTTATATGCCAAATTGAACGAAAAATTGCATTTTCCTTCCTTCCTTCCTTACGCGATTATTCATTTCACATTCGTATTCCCTTTTCCGCCTGTGATCTCGTTTCACGTATAAGGGAAAGCATTGATTTTCGCTCTCTCTTAATCAATTTTGATACGCACTGTCCGTGTTCGACCAACCGTTACTAACACGCTTTGAGAGACCAAGCATAACCACGATTTTATAATATTTGATTAAATATCGGTTTTTCACAATCAGTGTCGAGTTTCATTTATATATAATGGAGAGATTACGGTCCCTGCTGAGTCGAGCCACGGATTTATATGATTATTTATACGATATATGATTATTCAGATCGTATTTGTAAAAAGGATATCTAGCAGTAAAAAATTAAAGTCCTTTTTTTGTTTCGATGTCTCAATCGTTTTCGAGATATATAAAGCGTCAAAGTTTAGTATTTAAGACAGTGCGAAAATTATGAATGGACTCACGATCCAGTGACCTATATCTTTTCTTGGAAATAGTTACTACGTTCTTCTAGGAATAGCGTCTCTTGTCTGGATATATCAGTTTTAGAAATACGAGTAAAAAAGATACTAAAGGATTAAAAAATTATCTTTCCACAATGAATTATCTCGGCAATCGGATGTTGTATATATAAATCAAAAAACATTTTAAAGGAGAAAATTCAGTATTTCTAACGATCGTTCACTCGTTGACCGAAAGACATTATTTTTCGAAATTCTAGCTGTTCAAAGTTTTCCTAATTTTAACACGCTTTCTATCGTCTTTTAATTACGTGATAATTTCTGTTTTGCTGTTTTGGAATATTGAATTGTTAAACTTTCAAACATTTTAGTTGAATGCGCTTTCCTTTCCTCTTCGAGGAACCGAGCATAATAACTCATCGTGATTCTATAAAATTTAATTAAACATTACTTTTTTACAATCCAACTCCTCCTCGAATTTCATTTCATCCATAATAACGATCATATCTTCGTTACTGTTCCTGCTATTCTTGTCTATACTTTCGATATAAACTCGAGATACGCGCAAGCATCGTCGTAAATGCCTCTTTGCCCATCGGTTCGGATGTATTCTCGAATTCCGCGTGGGCCACGCGTGGGCGACTTTACGCGCGTATCACAACCGGTTCGGCGAACGTGCGATTACATCGCATTACACTTGGCGCGTTTGTACGGTTGTCGCTCGAGGGCGTCTTTCGAGTTTCCGCACATTCTGCCAGCTATAAAATGACGGCGGCATTTAGGTGAAAGCACGCGACAAATGTCACGCCTTTGTTGATCTATAAATCGTGTCAATGATTGGTATTACGATCGTTTCGAGGATACTCATGGGTTTTTGAACGACGCAGTTTTTAGCGCCGCGATATTTTTTATCGATCGAGCCATAAACTCGCCAACCATTTTTAATGTTGCCTAAAAGAACGTGGTGCTTGTTGGGGAGAAATTACGAATTAAGTTCACTGCGATCGTAAATTACGAATGTAATTACGATGCATGAATGTGACCTCGATAAGTTATGCGATCTCGATAAGTTGTATCGGGGCGTTGATATCGTTATATCGTTAATAACGGTGGATTGCATAGGGCGTAATATCCTCATGTTAAAAATAGCTTTAAAAATCATTTTAAAGTCACTAACGGGTTTCGTAAAATCCAAGAGATAGATATTTAAGAAATGGTTCAGAATTACTTCTTTCTTCGAAAATTTGTCGAATTAAATGAAATATATATTGTACATCTATATCAAATATTCCGATGTGATTGAACATCATTTAATCTCCATTCCCGTTTTTAATGTCGTAAGTACACATATAAAAATTTTGTGGACGAATACGGTTCATTTCCAAATAATCGAGGATCCCATTTATTTATCACTCTTACGTATAATTTGATCCGATAGGTTGATTAAAATATCAGTAACTGAAACAAATACACGTGGATTCACCCGAAGAATGGAATATCTATCGAAACGTGTACTGCGAGTGACGTCTACCGAGATTGCACCATTAGTAATACGATCTATGGACTATCGCTCACTGTAAGGTAAATGGTATAATGGGGGACGAAGTAATTGAACTTGTAGAAAATTGGATTCTATTAACCATCAGATTGTGCTAAATAACGCTGAATAAGTCACGACAGCGAATGTCGTGGAAGATGCGCAACACACCTTCGTACAATTTTCGATAGAGGAAGTCAAGTGGAATACTTTTTGTGAGTTGCGTTGTTTTCTAACAGCGAGCGCGCAGTAAATATCGATCGACCTGTATCGTTGGAAACGAGATTACAAGTGAAACGGAATAATTCTCGTGCGTAATACGGGAAAGAATTTAAACGCCGACCAATTAAAAGATCAATTGAACTTCTGAACGACTGAAAAATTCGGCTTTCGTTTTCCTGCATACCAATGAAGATAATTCTCGTTACGTTAAGAAATATAAAGCACAGAGTGTTAATATATTCGCGAAAGACAATTCGAACAAATTTTTAATGAATTAAATTCTCAAATCTCTGGACTCGAGTCAAAGATATTCCACAAACGTATTAACACTCCGTGTAATAAAATTTAAATTTTAAAGTTAAAATAATTTTATCGTACTTGGAAAGAATTATAGCCGATAATAACTTACCCGTTGTGCGTCAAGAAGGACTTAGGCAACGATAGTGACCGCTGATGAGGATCCAAGGATCCGTCCGCCGACAGAGTATCCTCACCCCTCGTTGGAGCGCTTCCAGGCCTGGACAGCATTCCATCTTTCGGCGGCTCCATCAACGTCTTCAGAGAACCAATCACCGCATCCTCCATGGGAGTTGACGCACCCGAGCTCTTCGCATTCCTCGGACTCTTGGTCACGGTTCGATCGGACGTGGTCACCCAAATGTCGCTACTCGAGGATGACGAGGTAGCCGAGGAGGACGCTGCGTGGCCGCTCGGCGATCTACTCGCTATATTCTTCCCTTGAACCGGCGACACCTTTCTATCCTTGCTCTCACAACCCTCGAAACTGCCCGAACTGAATTCCGCTTTCTGATAATACCTATGATATTCCCTCTTATCCACGCTCGAGCCGTTCCCGTTAGATCCTTCCAGGGACGACCATCGACTCGACTGTTTCAACACGCTCTTCGGTTGCCTCTCCTGATATTTGGCCGCGCTGCTGTTACTCCGATCACGAGTAGCCCGATTCTTTCGGGACGCGTCACGATCGCGAAATTCACGATCGTCCATTCGCTCCAACGATGCTGGAGACGAGCTGGCGCTACCTCTGCTCGCGTGGCTGCTTCCAGCGTCCGTGGGGAGCCTCTGATGAGCCGGGTAACTCTGGGATAACTTCATGAATACCGGAGCTTGGTTGGGGGAGTAAAGAGTGTCTCTCTGCGAGCAATGCGGCCAGAAATCGCACGTGCTGCTGTTGCAGCGCAACTTCGTGTCGGGACTGATGCAGAAGTCATGGTTCGCGGGATTCGCATTCGGGGTCGTTGCTCCCCTTTGAAGCGTTTTAGGTCGCCTCGATTGTTGCTGCTGCTGCTGTTGTTGTTGTTGTTGTTGTTGCGTTTGCTGCTGTGGCTGCTGCGACTGTTGTTGCATGGACGATCCGGTGGATTTGGAAGATTGCTGGTGTTTAGAGGAGATAAAGTAAACATCGTAAGTGTTGGGATTACTCCTCTGCCTTTGCTCCTGGCCATCCTCGCGACGCTCGAAGCGACACGACAGCAGGCTTCTGGCTATCGCGCGGCTCCTCGTACCGTAAAGGAACTCGGTTACAGCCTCGGTCTCACGGAGCAACTCCTCGTTCAACGCGTTCTCGGTTGACTGCGCTTTTCCTAGAAAACAGGCACAAACGATACGTTGAAACAGCGGTAAAGAAAACGAAGCGCGGAGTAGGAAAGAAATTCGAACGCTCGAAAGTGTTCTTACAGTAGAATTCCTTTGTTCCAAGTCGAATACGTTTCTTACGTGAACGTGATATGCTCGATTATATGCGAATATAATTCGTAATAACACGATAGATTAATCGTTTAATTCGAAGAAACGAAGAAAAAAAATTTAATGTGAATAACGTAAAGAATATCTTACTGTTCTGAAGAGCATGACGTTTCCTCTCGTTCCCTCGATCGCTGGAAATTTTCACAACCAATCTGTGGGGCTCGTTAGATTCCCTCGAATGTTCCCTGTTCAATGGCGCGGCGGCGCTCGGAGACCTTTTCTCCGGCAATTGAAGACTTCTCGACCTTCTCACCCGCGACTGATGAGAATCCGGGGACGCTTGAGTCGTCCTCGCGCTCTGATGTTGCCTAGAAGCGTTGCTACGTCTGAAAGGGTTCGGTGTCGGCGATCTGCCCTGTCTGTCCGTGCTGCTCGACGACGAGGAGGAGGAAGACGGCGAGTTGAACGACAACTTGCCGGATTCCGACGATCCCGGCGATCTTCTTAATCCCTGTTGACTCCTGTGATGTCGGCTCTGCCTGTTCGGCGAGATCCTCTCCCCATTGGCGCGGATAGATTCCGTGGACGAATTCAACGCTATTATCGAGGAGGAGACGAGGCTTAGATTCAACGAGGAGCTCGGATTGTCGTCCTCGTCGTCCCCGTCGTCGTACCCTTCCACCGAGGAATCTGTGTTCTCCGCCAATCTGGGCATAGTCGATCTCGTCACGCAACTATCCAGACTTCTGAAACCGACCGACGACGAGGACGAGCTCGACGATTCAAGATAACGTTGCACGAATTGCGACCTCCTCGAGGAAGACTGATCCTCCAACGACTTGGCTTGCGCCATTCTGTACTGTTGTTGCTGTTGCTGCTGCTGCTGCTGTTGTTGCTGCTGCTGCTGTTGACCGCCGCTGTTCTGCCTCCGAGCTCTGGACGGCGTGCTCGAGGATTTTCGGGACGTGGGCGGCAAGGAACTCCAATTGACTTGATGCGGGGGCGAAGGTGGAGGGCTGATGATATCACTGTCCACTATGGCGTTGGATCGAGGGAGGAAAGGCGGTTTCCCGTAATTGTTGCGCCCCGAAGAATGTTTGGAGGAGGTTCTCTTCCCGACCGCATCCTGGAACGCCGGTGGCGGGGATATTATCGGGGTGATCGAGGGCGGCGAATACGATTCCGGGATACTGTGGGGCGAGGTGCAAGCGCTGCTCCCCACGGATTCGAAATCTTGACCGTGAAGGGCCAAATAGTCCGGCCTCTGGCTGTCCAATCGTAAGAATTCCTCCGGGCATTTGCCTGGCTCGCTGTTGCAATGATAATCGGCCAATTTTACCGTTGCTCGTCGCGGTAACGGGAGAGTGCCCGTGGCCGCCGTCACCAGGCTACTCTCGTAGCTCGTCCGCCGATTCTCATCCAGGGATCGTTGCTGCACCTGAACCCAACCGGATCGACCAAGGTAGACCCCGTCCACTTCTCTATCGCACCATCGGACCGGCGACAATTCCCTGCTGCAATCTCCGCTGATGAAAAGTTCGCCGGAAGTGCCGCTGTTACCCGACAGGAACGAATTCGAGGATTCTCGACGACGAGAACCCGTCACCTGTTCGTAAATTCATCGATAGAAACAAGGAAGGGAGGGGCTGGCTCTTCCGGACACTCGAAAAAGATGGAAACTTATTTAACGACCTCTATTCCGAATTTCAAAACTTTCTTCCTCTCTCGTTGTTTTAAAAATAAAGATATATTCAAAGGGTTGAACTGAAGGGTTGAAGTTCAGGCCGAATTGTTCGAATGTACGTATAACGAGCGTATTTTTAAAATTTCGATACGAAAATTGTAAAAGTTTGGAGCGCGAAATTTTTCGTTCTTCGAAGCGAGAGTTGGAAGCTAGAGATATCGTATCGAGAGATTTCAAAGGAGCGCGATACAATAATAAAAGGAATATCTTCTTTTTCGATCTTCTTTACTTGCCTGACTATGGCTGTCCTGCCGATGTTGCTTTAGGCTGGAAGTCGATGCCGCTGCCGATGCCGTTGTATCGTGCCGTTTCAAGGATGGTATTGAAGTACCGCGTGTATACGAGCCTCGGGCGTTTCCACTTGATTTTCCTTTGCCTCCGCTTTGACTTTTATTGCTACCGACGCTGTACGAAGAACCCTGAGAACCGACCTCCCAAGGATCCGAGGTGCTGCGCAGATGCAGGATCGACACGTTTTGACCTCTGCAAACGAGTTGACGGACAAATATAAATATCACTAGATGAAACTTTCCGCTATCATCAAAATTATTATCACGTTCATCCAGATAACGGGTGTAAAAAGTATTCTGCAAACTTAATTAAGAAGAAGAAGAAGAAAAAAAAAACATTTATATCTCGAGTTGAAAGGAAAACTATTCTTGTGGATATATGCGGATATAATATACGCGTTATGTATATTTAAAATACCGGTGAAACTCGATTTAAGAAGATTGTTGCTTTTCCTCAAGTGCAATCTTCTCGTATAAATATTCATCGGTTTCGCGATATGCGGATACGGAGGAGAAGGAAATAGAGAAGGAAACGATGGTGTTGCATCCGCCTTTCTTCGAAATACTCTACAGAGATTCTTTTCGTGGCTCCTCTCGATACGAGAGCATACCACGGAATGTGCTATGTGGGGAAAGCTAGCAACGTACGAGCCGTAAAACGGATTCGTTTCCGACGAAAATAAACATTCGCGAGACATCGAAACGTCTTTGACCGTGATTGAACGTGTGTTCCGTGAGAGCTGCTCTCTGTTTTCTTCGCACGCGTTCCAATGTGTGCAATGGGGAGGACGTGACGATAAAATGTGATTAAAGGAAAGAAAAAATATGTACAATACAGATTAAAAGTATCCGAACGCGTTGATTATTTTAATTACGAGATCGTAATGGTTATAAAAAATATTCGCATAATTGCGTTAATAATTTTTTAACGAATCCTTGTTTTTATCGGGTTCCATATTTCGTTTTTTAATATTAAATTTTAATAGATGTGAATGAAAACGGCATTAAATGATGTAAAATATAACGTAGTTGGATCCAATTTATTATATGTAAATGCGATATTAATACAACGGTGTGCAAATATCTTTTGTATCCATTATTCTCTGCGATTAATACGTATATAATAGAATATTGTTACACCATAAAATTAATTCGAAAAGTGTAACGCGTATATAATAACGAAGAGAATTCTTTTGTTCTTTGAGAAATTCTTTTTTTTTTTTCAGATTGTTCAGATTTATTAACTGGTAATAAAAAAACTCTTTTAAAAAATCTCGATCATTTTCAAAACTTTTATAAAATTCAAACTTCGAGTAAGTCAAAGCGTTTGAAATACTTATGAAATAATGTAAAAAGGAAAGAAAAAAAGCAAACGATCGAGAAAAACTCGTTAATATCAATTAATCGTATTTACAGTTAGCACAGTTGATAACTGTAAAATTCGCATTCCAATTAGATTAACAAGGATACTTTCTCGCGCGTATGAGAGCATCGATTGTACGATGGAACAATGCGACTCGCGGCGCTTAACCAACGCATTTTAAATCGTTTGGTGGACAGAATTTAAATTCGCGAACGGGTTTCGTGCGTCGAACTACGTATGTAGGTCGTGGAGGAAAATTTTCGAAAATGAAATCCGTTATCTCTGGAAAACGAATTTCAGGAAATTTCAGGCGGCGTGACGAGTCACTTCCCCCGCCATTTCGGCAATACAGAAATGTTCCTACCGTTTATCATTAATGAGTGGTGGTAAATGTATGGGGGGGAAGGGGGAGAAGCTCGAGAAAGGACGACAACGAGCGCAAGAATAATCTTCCGGCGTAATGATTCGCGAAAGAAGGAGGAGTGGAGGAAAAATGGGATCTTCGTTGGCAAAGCTTCGAATCTCGAGTGGTCGAAGCTCTGGAATAAATGACATTCTAATCTTCCAAATGACTCGATTCATTTTCAAATTGGACGATCCGAGAAATTGAACGCGCGCGTGTGAATTTATCGGAGACTTTGTAAAATGTCTATGTAATATTGTGTAATGTGAAACGAGCTTTCGCGTATATTACTTAATAATTCATCGATTTTTCTTCGCGTAAAATCGTTCAGCGTAACGTTTTACGTAACGAACTAGAATTATTATCCGTTATAAGAATCGATTGTTTAAACACAGGCATATGTTATAGAATTATAAAACGTTATAGAATTATTTCTGAACCATCTAATGATGGATGATATACAGATAATAGATATTCCTATGAATGAATTATATTTACCTTTTAACGGACATCGTTTGCGGGATCTTTCCTCGGCTTTCACACTTGAATTAGAATCACTCTATCGTGTCCGTTATCACGATCTTATCAAGGATCGATGCACCGTCATTTTGCCATTAAAGTTTACATCACCGCGAAGCCAACGAAACTTCGTTCATCTCGCGATTGAAATTTCACCAAAAATAGTCAATCACAGGCTCGATATTTCGAAATAATAACGTTCCTTTTAAAAATGTAATAAAATCTTAGGGAAAAAAGGAAAGCGATTTCTTACGCAAGAAAATTTAATTTAACCACGAATGCCACTATTCAACGTTACAAAATCGATCCAGTTACTATTAAAATTCATCAAAAGCTTGATATTTTAACTCTTTGGGGCGTAATGAACTAAAAACTTATTTTTAAAAAAGATCTTGAAATAATTATATGTAAATACACATCATGTAATAATAATATTTATTTTTTGTTATTATTGCATTTGTGATTATTTTATCGATATAAAATTTTTGTCTAAATAAAGATCCGCTCTAAAAATTTGTACCACAAAGAATTGAAATAACAACAATTTTCCCTTTGAAAAAAACTGTAACAAAATTTCTACGGAAAGGAAATAATGTCTTACGCAAGAAGATCGAAATCGTGCTATTCTATGAAACGAGCAACTAGCTATTCCGCGATCTCATTAAACCTGGTAAAAATGATCCGAGGCGACTAATTAACCGTATAGGGCTTTGGAAGGAGGTCTAGGAACGATCCAGGTCCCTTCGACGTTCACCCGTTGAATTTTGCATTCCGGTGTGTAAACAAGTCGAACTCCACGGGGAAGCTTCGTGGACAGAGAGAACGATGTAGGAAGCTCGTCGCTTTATCGAGCTTCATGAAACTTACATCACGCGTACCTAACCACCGACTGTAGTCGAAGACTGCAAAAAGTAAACAAGAGAAGGAGAGAGAAAGAGGGGAGAGCAAATATAAACTACGATCGAATCGATTTCCTTTTTTTTTTTTTTTTTTTTTTTTTTTTTTAACCAGATATCACAGATATCGACCATACTTGCCGCCTAATCTATATCGTCCATCGTAAAACGAATATCGCGAGTTCTAATTATATCGTACTCTTGGACCTTGTCACTATTCGCCTAGTCCAACGTATATCCTTTTTTGGCCTGGTCGTGACGAATAAAACGCTCGAGGAAAGGGACAATGAACTCCTGTAGCCCACGTAAAAAATTAACACGCTCTTTGTCCCTGGGCTCATCCGGTGATCCACTGCGATTAAGGAAGGTAAGAATATTTTTTTTTCTCGCCTCTTTGATATTCCTCGATTCCGTGGAGATTACGAAGAAGACCGTATTCTTATAAAAATTAAACAGAAGAATAGTTTAGAAAAAGCAAAGAAACAAAACGTAGAACGAATCTAATTTCGACGTTGATTGGTTCACTAAAGTTTGTATCTTATAAATATGGAGAAAGGCAGTATGTAATCGCAAGAAAAATGCGAGAGGAAAAGAAAATCACGAATCGATCGATTTTTATAGATATTTTTGTATTCGCCCGATAAAACTTATCAATCTGTAACAAGCACTGTACGAAAACGAAGCTATCGACACACACTCACGGATCGCACAAACACCCGTCCATATGTATCTACACCTATGCAACACAGAGATACGAGACGTTAAATCCTTAGAGGCGGATGTAAATCGTGGCGAACACCGGACTCGTTAAAATCGAGTTACACCCCTTCTTCGCTCGTCCATCCAGTTCAGATAATGGAAAAAACAGAGAAATCCCTTTTTTTCTTTTTTTTTTTGCGTGAAAGGAACACGAGGAACAGGAGGTAATGAGAAATAGGACGGAGAAGAAACGAAATCGAAGGAAGGAGAGAGACAGAGAGAGAATAAGGGAAGGAAAGAGAAGAGAAGAGAGAATAGCACAGAGAGAACACACGCGTTACCTGTCGCCGCGGGAGCCAGTGGCCGTATTCGAGATGTCGGCAGAATTCGCGGCTGGACTGACTCTACGAGGTGGCAGGGCGGGAGCAGGGGCCTGGCTCGAGGACGAGGTCGAAACGGGCCCTATGACGCCCACGTTGCCCCCACGTACCCCGTCCTCGGCCGAATGTTGCCTCGAGGATTGCGAACTCTGCGACAACCAACGACGACCGCCGCCTCTCGTCACCACCGTTGATACGCTCGACCCTGTTGCCTGATGGGACACCACCACCGTCCCTCCGCTGTCCAGTGACGTGCTCTGCGATCAGAAATTCAAATCAGCCGAGTTTGCTCGATCGAGATGGCCAGGGATGGGGATTGACTTTTAGGAATGGTTGGCTGGATGAGAAAACTATAGGGGGGGAAAAAACGTAACGAGTTTACTTTTATCGATTTTTTCATCTCGGTTGCTGATCTTGGTTGCTGAGAGAGAATATTTCGATGACTTTCGATCGTGTAATCTTTATTACAATTTTGAAATATATTTTGGAATATAACGCGTAAAGTGAATTTTAATACGTTCTTTTGATGTATCTTTCATACAAAGATCGTGGTGGATATAAAATTAATCGTCACGAAATTCTCTCTGCTATTCAATTTACGTAAGTCGTGTGAAATTACCATAATTCGGGAGAAATTAAATTTGAAACAAAAATGGGGGAGGTACGAACTTTACGTAGCTAATAATTTTTTAATGAAACGGGAGGAAAGTTGTATTAATATATAGCGAGAGAAATGTTTCAAGGTGCGCACTGTAAGAAATTGAGAACCCAACTTCTGTTGGGATTTGAAGTATCGAGGTGAAGGTCATGACAAATTTTTTTGTCATTTCGGTTTTCAAACCTCGCTAAATAGAGCAGGATTTATTTATGAAAGATCGTTAAGTTTAACATTTAAAATTATTGCACAAGTTATATTTTAACTATAATTCTTAGGATGTATCAACGAAATAAATAATAATTAGCAGGCTCGAGCAACGTTTTCTCCTTGAATTCTCGGACTTGGCACATTCAGAACGATACCGTAAATGACGCTCCCTAATGTGGTAACTTGGATGCGGTTAGAATAAATAGAAACGTATTTGAGTTCTTTTCTTTGACGTTTTCAATTATTCCTTCGAGGGGGGAAGCTAATCGATTCAGCATAGGCTGTCGAAGGTTTCTCATTGGTCTCGTCTTTTCATCGTCTTCTGTTTATTTTTTTCACTCCTTTTATCCGCATCCTTCGATGAACGACAAGCTAGTATTCCCGCTCGATGGAGAATTCGCATTCTTCAACCAGGGAATTCGAGATTCGATGATCGCTTCGAGGAAATCGCCATAGAATTTCTTAAGATTCGCGGAATATCGAGAGGAGAGGGTTTATTGCCCATTTTTGCCTTTGTTAATCGCATCCGTGCCCTCCCCCTTTGCATTCTTTCGATTCTGTTCACCGTACATGGTTTATTTTGCGATCCTCGTCAAAACGATATTAACTGTAATTGTTTTCTTTTTACCAGTCATTAATTGTTGTATTCCCTTTTTCTTATCCACTTAGAAAAAAATAATAGAATTATCGACTTACGATATATTTCTTATTCTAATAAAAATTAATGTTTTCCTTAAAATCATTCTCTTTATTTACTTACTCAAAAATAACAAAAACCTCTGAAAAGCCTGGCAATTTTCTAACATTCCAATTAAAATCCCATCTCTCATTTTATCATCTCATCAAAGATCGAAACTTAAATCTTTCATTTGCAACGATATTTGAAAATGGAAAATTCAACATCGTCGAATATAATTCATCGCGACACATCGACTCGAAAATCAAACCTGGTCGAGATTACATAAAAGTATTCTGGAAGTAATCGTGACGAGGTAATGTCGGCGCGTCGCAACACCAGACGAACTAAACTCACAACACAGGTTGCCGGCTGTTTCTACTTCCAAATACGGACGAGGTGCGAGAGACTGGCTACGCAACTCCTTCGATGAAAGTATTTTTATTTTTGTCGTGAGCTACGCCGAAGAAACCCGTCTCACCACGCCGATCACATCGTGGATCGAGAGGAGTCGTAACAAACCGGAGAGAATCCTATCGCTTGAAAGATATCTTAAGCCATCAGATTCTCGCCGATTAATTGTGGCCAGTGTTCCATCGCTTTTCTTCTTTTTTATCTTCTCTCTTTTCTTCTTCTTTTTTTCCCTCCTCCAGCCACCGAATTGGCGCCGTTGATAAGAAATATGAAGAAATCGAGGTCGTCGCAGCGTTTTATTACGCGTGCACGTCCGATTTCTTTCGGCAACTTGGTTGTTTACCTAACGTGGAAAAATTGAAACGACCTCGAGCCTCGAAACAGGATAGAAATCGAGTGGAATATCTAGGTCGGGTCGATAATTCAACCGTCGTAAAACTGGATTTATCGCGTTTCTACGGCGAAACTTTGTTTTGTATCGTTTCCTGTATTTCTGAAAATCATCGATTAATATTGTTACGGGCATCGATAGTCCACTGCAATGTCGTAACTATTCGACAGTGCAGAATTCCAGAGGCCTGTTTGTTGTGCAACGGAAAGAAGATCGCGTATCCGGGGATACCGATAAACAGGAAGAGCTGCCAATTGTGCATTAGAGACGTGATCGATCGCTAAAGACTGTTAAATACTATTTTTATCGTTACAGGATATTCAGACGAAGCTGTGCAAAATTTTTATATATAGCTTGATTATTAAATTTTTTAAACGAATGATATTAGAATCGAATACGATTATTAAAATTCTACAACAAGTTGTTCACAAGTTTTAAATTTAAAACTTAGAAAAAATTATTAGCTATTAAAGACTAATTGTATTGTTCAAGCTTATATATCTAAAGAATGTCAATCTTTTAGATATTGCAAAGAAAAAAAAAGATGGAAGAATAGATTTATAGAAATGTTTAAAGAAAACATTTAAACATTTTATTAAGAATGAAATTACTTACGTTTAAGTGATTCTTTCTGGACGTAACAGAAGAGTCTTGGGACGAGCCTCTCGAATAATGCCTGGAGAACACTTCAGCGAGCCTAGATCTTCCCGAGGTGGTTGCATTGACTTTGGATTTGTTTGGCGGCGATTCCTCGGCTGTTTTGGCCAGATTCGGATTACTGCTTTTGCGCTCCGGGAAAACTAAATGCTCGATGTTTGGCGTGTATCCAGGATCACTTCTCACGATATCCTGAAGGGTAATGCGGCTACCGGTACTCGAACCGCCATTGCTGGAACAGATCGATTTCTTTTTATTAAATTAAAATTCATCGCCATATTCGTATTAATTACGTATATTTTAATTGAAATGTGCTTATTTAACTTTATAACACCTCATTCTCGAAAAATTTAAAAGGATTTTATTCTGATAAAATTTTATTCCACATTTTTTGCTTATTTTCACGTATAAAGTAACCATCTACCGATATTTTATTCGTACCTAATCAGGAATCGGTCAATTCTATTTGGATTTTTTTCACGTGAATGTACGATTGTTTGTGTATAACGTCTAATTCATGAATAGGGGATTGAATCGGTGTTCTGTCACTGTCGATGGCGCGAATATGCCGATCAATTACCGATCTGATAATATGCTGTCAACTCGATAACGATTTTAAGTCGATAACGATTTCCCTCGACTCGATACCATCGTATTTGACGGTGCTCTCGATTGTTTGCAAGTCAAAATCCTCGACTCGACTCCGCGACGAGAATCAACAACAGTGGAATACGATTAATATTTATAGAGGATACGCGATCTCCATCGTTCTTCATGAGGATGTCTCCAGGGGTGTCGAGATTCTTCTCGCGTGAAAGGAATTTCGTCAAGGGACATTGGGGAAAGGGTGGTGAGCGTGGAACAGTGAAAGAGCAGAAGCGTGATGGTGGGAACAAAAGGGAGGGTGAGACAAAGAATGGGCCAGAAGGCGGATCAGTGAAATGCACGGTGAATGCAATGTCGCGCACGTCGACACGCGTAATGCCGGCTTAAAAGGGTTAATTATGCAAGCCCGCTGAAAGCCACGGATAGTTTACTGTCCCCTGATATTTTTGTCCGAGATTTCCTCCTCTTCTACTCATAATACGTTAAAAACGATTTAAAAAAAAGGAAAAGGAGAGAGGAAAAGTAAGAAAGAATCGTAATAAAAATGTCGACGGCAGACCAGCTCCGGGGATCTATTGTAGTCGAGGCTGTAATGAAGACGAATATATAAACGAGACGAGGGAAAAAAATTCGATACACAGAAATCGTTTCTAAGATCGTTACTCTATTATACGTTCTTTTCTCGTGCTTCTTCTTCATCTTTGATTTCAAAAATTTTAAAAGATGTTAAAAAAGATATCTTTAGGATGAATAAATAATTGTCTACTAAAATACTTACTACCTAATATTTCCCTTGAATTGATTTCACTTGTGTAAATAATGCACTATTTTCTCGCAAGTATTGATAATTGTTCAAAGCTTTGTCTCTTGATTTTTGTACGAAAGCAGACGTTATAATAACTTTAACAAGTTACGTGCCATTACGATCGAGATATTTCATCAAACTGACCTGGGTCCGAAACCGTACGACTGCCTCTGGCCTCGTCTTTTCCCGCTGCCACGGCCAGGCTTGATGTTTGTCACCTCCGCTAATTGCAGCAAGCGGTTGCGATGCTGCCGCAACAGCGGGTCTTCCCTGCGATTCATTTTAACCGGTGCAAGTGGAATCCTGTCGTTCCAGCATCCTGTAATCGCAAAAAACAAAGGTCGTTTAAATATTCTCTTCGAATAGAAAAAAATCCGCGCGAATGGTGCACAATTATCGTGATTGTCGCCACAACATTTATTGAACTCGTTGAAGATTCGTTGAAACATGGGAAAAAGTAAAACAGGAAAATGGATGGATTAATCTGCGTTAATATTATGAAAATGATGATAAATCTCTCGTTGTCAAATGTGCAGAATTTTTTTGCCTCTCTCCCTCCCACGTCAATATCGAATTTACGTAGCTTTCTTTTTACGACTTTGACGCCACCAAATTTAATTTTTATCAGTTTTATTTCTCTTGGACGAATTAATTTGTTTCGAAGGAAATAACTTTTTTTTTTTACGATTCTAGCGTTATCGTTGTTCCTCTCCACTTTCGTGTTACCAAGTTGTGATGACCACGGTCTCGAAATTATATATGACAGTTTTCTGTACTAAAAAGTTTACCATTGCGCGGATGGGACATGTGCATTCGATCGTTAAAATTTAACGATACTTGTTCTAGAAATTCTAACAAGGAAATGTAATCGAAATAATTCGATTGGGATCTCAATAGACATCTTCGTGGGGACGATAATCGATCTCGTGTTAAACGTTAGGCAATATGTTTCAATAGAAACTATTCTTAAAACTTTAAAGGCAAAAGGATGGTAATTGTCGGCTCGTGGATTCTTCTCTCGGGGCTCGTGTCGGATCAGGAAAAAAATTTACTACTGACACTGTGCCCGCCATGCTTTCAGTCCTCTTTGAAATAGAACTGGTGGGGGGGGAGGAAGGGAAATCTTGGCAAATAGGACCGAAAATGTCGTTCCCTTTTTTTTTTTTTTTTTTTTTTCTTTCTGTTTCACTGTTAAAAACTTGCGGCATTGTGTCAGCACTGTATCGTCTCTATAAACGTTCCTTTTTGTTCTTTCAATTGAAACGATTTTCCATTGAACACAAAGAACTATGAAACGTTTTTTCTATTTCCATTCGAAAGTATCATTGAACGTTCTATTCGATAAAACTATCGACCGGTTTATTAGTTTATCGCGCCGTTAAAAGTTATTTCGAGTTCTTTCAATCAAAAAGAACGCTAAAAATAATGTTTAATTATCCGTATACGATTAATTAAATAAAACTTCTTACACTCTCGTAATTCATAAATACGTCTACATCGTTGGAAGCCAATAAAGTCCAATATTTGATATTTAGCAATAACGAACTCTATTTTAAGTTGGAGCATCGATAAAAATTTTCCGAAGCGTAACCAATTTATGTGTTGATGAGAACGTATAAAGTTTTAAATGAACATTAACGTGGTCCATGCGTAAATGTGATGGAAATGCGTCGTATATTGTGAAAAAAATTATTATTCATCTATCGAAGATAATTACACTTGGGTACCATTATATTTAATTCTAATGGAATTCCGCGAGAGAATCACGAAAATATATAATAAAATAAACATTTTTATTTAGAAGGAATGGAACACAAGAGTAAAAAAGCATTCAATGAAATTAAAATTTATTACCTTCAAGTTTCAAGTTTAATCAATATCTAACTTTTAAACATATAGTACACAAAAATTGAATATTTAACCTTTTACGATCTCTATAAATAAATGTTGCAGTCGGTTTATTCCTTCATCACTGAACATTGTCAAAGACATACGATGTTATTTAACGAAAAAAATATAAAATGTAACGCAGAATTTATACACGTGAAAAAATTCTGTAAAATATACCCTGTACTATCGAGCAAATGTTTCACGAGAAACAATTTTGTATTTAATATCTACACTTTATCAATTTATATTTATATTTATATTTAGAATCAAAAGAAAACTTTGATTTATTTTTTTCTAATGAGAAATGTTTTTTTATAAATTGAAAATTTCGATGAAAAATTCCAGAATATTCCAATAATTCCATTTTCGAAAAGATAACTCCAAAAATTCTGTTTTCTCTATTTTTCTATTTTCAACATTGACATACCACTTATAAGATATAACAAAAATTATATGGATAAATAAATCAACCCCTTGGAATATTTTATATTTGCATTATAATATATATGTCATCACCAAAGAAGAATATCTTTGATGATAACGTTATTTATATATATATACATATACCTACTTTAAATAAATTTTAAGGATAATAGCTCGATTAAAATGCATAGTTATATAGAAGCAACATTGTTGTCTATATTGAATATTAATTGCGTTTCAGAAATTTTCTTACGAAAATGAATATTTTCATATTTTATGACCCGTTGTTCAAACAATACGAAAATAATTTCAACTAAAAATAAATAATTAACGATAAAATATTAAAACATTTCAATAATTTCACTGTAAAAAGGTTTTTCAATTTCTGCAACAGAAGAATATTGCACGTGACAGAATTTTACGAATAAATGAACATGGAAATAAATTGTGCGGAGATTTTTGCGCGTTTCTCAGTTGTAATTCGAAAACGTGTTCGCGCGTGGCTAAAGTCACTCCATAAATTGTAAATTGTGATCGGAATTTACGAGTGGGACGCACTGCGGTTTTTCGAAACGAGAATTATCCGATCGAAACAGATGCTTCGAGTCGACTGATCAAGATTTATGGTTACGTGTCCAAGAACGAAATAACGGTGAAGCAGAGCGATTTGCAATAGTTTCCATTTATCGATCTCTCTTGACCTTTCATAAATATATAAGTTCAAGAATTGTATACAAGATTTAGAAGAAATATTTCTAAACATTTGTCAAAAATAATATATTCATTGAATGATTTTATTCGAATTTATATTTTTAAATTCATTTAATTATCTTTTTATTTTACGAGCATACGTTGCACGGGGATAAAGAAATAAAATTATAGGAATTTTTGATCGAATGTTGGCAGTGACACATGACACGTCGGGCATTTAATTAAACTTTTAAAAATACGTAGCAATTAGAATGAAGTATGCAAATGCACAATTCAATGAAATTCGTCGAGTGTGAAATACCATTAATGTTGGGTTAGACGGAGTTGAAATTAATTTTATTTACGGGAAAATCTAGCTAATGACTGTCATTTCATTGATTTATGAACAATTCGGTGTGTTACGATTTTATCATCATACTAGTGGAATTACAAAGCTATATAATAAAACTCGTTGAAATGCTCTTTACGAAATTATTAATTATATTCAATAGTCATTGTAAATTAAAATTGTACCACAACTATTATATAGAATAAAATTGTTACTTTATTAAAATATTATTAATTTGTTTGCTACACACACGTTCCTCTTTTCCAATATTCTCGTTTCCACTGTTCAATTTTATATTCTCACATTTCACTTAACATATTTACCATACTTAAACACACCTTGCAAACCGAGACATTATGCTAAAGCCAGTGATAACAAAAACGACAGAATGATAGAAAATTTATAAATTATAACAATAAAATGGAATATTCGCGGTAAAATTAAAATGCGTTTGTTTTCGCCAGGTATCGATCGAAACCTCCAGGAACCGTTTAATCGTCTCCTTCTTTTCATCTCTCGCCATCCAAGGGCTAAGGGTTATTATTCTAACGAGCAATTCGCTCGCTTTAAATATTTCCCCTACGGATGATTCGCAAAGAACGTGGTCCCCGCAAGTACACGAAGTGGTGCTTTCCAAAGCGTTGAGCGGAGTATCCACGCCTATTCACAGTTAACGTAAGCGCCAATGTTGCATATAAATGTGTGCAATATTCCACGCGAGCACACAATGTCGGTATTATCCGGTTGGCTCTCGTGTTCGTTGCCAGATAAATACAATGGGAACGGGGCGTTAAGTCAACACGGCGTGGTTATCTGGACTCTTGGAAGAGGAGAAAATGCTCGTGAAGGAACGGTATACGTTCGAAAGCTCTTAAAGCTCGGGTCATCGTTGAATTACGCCTGGATTTTCGAGGATCGCGCTATTGTGCTCGCCACTCCATGATAATTTTCCCCGCATCCTTTTTACACGATTTCACCGTTCAACCGTCCTTCGATTGTCCCTCCATAGCAATGGATGCTTCTCTTCGTTACGTAATTGCGTAATTACTAATTGCGTAACGATGAAAAATGACAATCTTGCGTAATTATGGTAGATAGGACAAAAGTATCGTGTCCAAATATAATAAAGTTCGTATACGTAATATATATATATGCTAAAGTGTCGTCACGGGATTTTAACAATTCGAGTCATTGCCAAGACTTGTAATTTCATTGTGAATAATTCAGTTATTTCAAGATGAAATAGTTGCTCAGACGATTGGGACAGATGTACGTTCAACAAGATACGGATAATATTAATGATCGATTCTTGGTAATCCTTCTCATACAGTTTCATAGATTAATTAATCACGTAACTCGACAAATCCTTTATGCGAGATCATGCTGATAGAGGTTCAAAGTTGGCTGAAATTTCGCCGTGGAATTTCCCAGATGATTTCCCCATGGAATGGACGGCAAACCATAAAACTTTCGGTATCGGGCATATTATTGGACGGTTCGTAGACGATATCGACCAGCATTTTTCAATCAAGTTCTCTCCGACAATCGTATATTGGCTATTTCGATCGTTGTCTTCGCCTACGATAACCTGTCTAGCCTGCGAAATTATACATTTAGCGTGTGGTACAAGTGGTTGGTAGACGACCCTTATCACCGCGCTACGAGTGCCGTATATTGTCCAAATTCTCAAGAGAGGAATATTCAAATTTTGTATCGTTGATAGGATCGATAAATATCATAAACGTGACGCGCGTATGTAATATCTTCTTTGGAAAATAAGTTCAATAAATATTTTTCCCCTTGTTAATCAAGCTATTACGAATACTTGAGAAATTAATTAAGAAATTTTGAAATTGAATTTCGAGATCACCCGCAATTGATCTGACAGGGGAAAATAATTCGATATTTTATTCAATCCTGAGAGATATCGTGGCAGAATGTTCGTCGACGTGGGATTCCACGTGATG